TTAAGCAACCCAACACACGAGTATAATCCAATTGTGATATGCTCTGGCCTTTGTTCTTTGCTAATGCAAGATTCACATCAATTGGAGTCTTTGCAACTTTAAAGCCCAAGTGCTTGAATTTTTCAAGTACTGTCTTAATATAATGAGATTGTGACAATGCTAGACCTTGAGAAGTCTTATGGATCATAATTCCCAGAATTAAATCAGCAACTCCCAAGTCTTTCATATCAAACTTGCTAGTTAGCATACGCTTAGTAGCATTTATATTGGCAATATCATTACTCATTATGAGCATATCTTCCACATATAAGCAAACAATGACTATGTGATTTGGAACATTTTTAATGTACACACATTTATCACATTTATTTATCTTAAATCCATTTGACAATATTGTTTGGTCAAATTTAGCATGCCATTGTTTGGGTGCTTGTTTTAATCCGTAAAGGGACTTAACAAGTGTACAGACCTTCCTTTCTTTACTTGGAACCACAAACCCTTCAGGTTGTTCCATGTAGATTTCTTCCTCCAATTCTCCATTTAAGAAGGCCGTTTTAACATCCATTTGATGAATTTCAAGACCATAAACTGCAGCTAACGCTACTAACGTTCGTATGAACGTAACTCTTGTAACTGGAGAGTATGTATAAAAATAGTCAAGACCTTCTCGTTGTCTATACCCTTTGACCACAAGTCTTGCCTTATACTTGTCAATAGTGCCATCATCTTTCATTTTTCTCTTAAAGATCCATTTAGAACCCAACGGTTTATTTCCAGGAGGAAGATCAACCAATTCCCATGTATGGTTGTTCAGTATGGATTCTATTTCACTATTGACCGCCTCTTTCCATAACAATGATTCCGAAGAAGACATAGCTTCTTTAAATGTTTGAGGCTCATTTTCCAATAAGAAAGTCACAAAATCTTGTCCAAATTGAGTAGACGTTCTTTGACGTTTACTACGTCTTGGATCCTCCTGGTTAAGTGTACTTTCTTTTGTTTCTTCCCGAGATCGTTTAGATCCTTCACCAATCGACTCACATTCCTTTTTATACGGATATATATTTTCAAAGAACTCAGCATTATCTGATTCTATAACCGTATTATTATGAATGTCGGGATTTTCTGATTTATGACCAGAAATCGATATGCTTTACTATTAGTCGCATATCCTATGAAAACACAATCAACGGTTTTCGGTCCTATTTTTACCCTTTTGGGTTTAGGAACTTGCACTTTTGCCAAACACCCCCACACTTTAAAATAATTCAAGTTGGGCTTCCTTCCTTTCCATTTTTCATATGGAATGGATTGTGTTTTGCTATGGGGTACTCGATTTAGTATTCGGCTAGCCGTAAGAACGGCTTCCCCCTACAAGTTCTATGGCAAACCAGAACTTATCAATAATGTGTTCATCATCTCCTTTAATGAACGATTCTTTCTTTCTGCAATCCCATTGGATTGGGGCGTGTAAAGGGCCGTTGTTTGATGAATAATTCCATATTCTAAACATATTTGTTCAAAAGGAGATTCATATTCACCACCCCTATCACTTCTTATCATTTTGATTTTCTTATTAAGTTGCGTTTCAACTTCATTTTTGTATTGCTTGAATGCGTCTATTAATTCATCTTTACTATTAAGTAAGTAAACATAGCAATATCGAGTACTATCGTCAATAAAAGTTATGAAATGCTTTTTTCCACCGCGAGATGGTATTGACTTCATGTCACAAATATCTGTGTGAATTAAGTCTAAAGGATTTGAATTCCTTTCAACTGACTTATAAGGATGTTTGACATACTTAGATTCCACACATACTTGACATTTTGATTTGTCACATTCAAACTTGGGCAATACTTCCAAATTAATCATTTTCCGTAAGGTTTTATAATTGACATGACCCAAACGTATATGCCATAATTCATTTGACTCAAGTAAGTAAGACGAAGCTGAAATTTTATTATTATTTTCAACAACCATTACATTCAGCTTGAAAAGGCCCTCAGTGAGGTAACCTTTTCCTACAAACATTTCATTCTTACTTATTACAACCTTATCGGAAATAAAAACACATTTAAAACCATTCTTAGCAAGAAGTCCAGTAGAGACTAAATTCTTCCTAATCTCGGGAACATGAAGGACGTTGTTCAAAGTCACCACTTTGCCGGAAGTCATTTTGAGAAATATCTTCCCACATCCTTCAATCTTCGCCTTTGAAGCATTTCCCATAGAAATCGTCTCATCGGGTCCAACAGGAGCATAAGAAGCAAAAGCTTCTCTAACAGCACAAACATGGCGAGTGGCTCCAGAATCAATCCACCACTCTTTAGGATTGCCCACCAAGTTGCATTCGGAAAGCATGGCACATAAATCATCAACATCATCATGCTTTTCAACCATGTTTGCTTGACCCTTCTTCTTGTCTTTCTTTGGAGCACGACACTCCGTAGATTTGTGTCCAGTTTTTCCACAGTTGTAGCAGTTTCCACTGAACCGCTTCTTGCTTGGGTTGTATTTCGGTCCAGTAAGCCTTCTTCCTCTTTTTGTTCTCTTCAACAATATTTGCTCCCATTATTGTTGAGTTTCCACGGCCTCTCTTTTCAGCAGCTTTGTTGTCCTCTTCGATTCTCAACCGAACAATGAGATCTTCAAGGGACATCTCCTTGCGTTTGTGTTTCAAGTAGTTTTTGAAGTCCTTCCACAAAGGAGGCAACTTCTCAATCATCGCTGCTACTTGAAATGCTTCATTGATAACAAGACCTTCAATGAAATTTCTATTAGTAAAAATACTAAGATTATTACTTTCAACATCAATATTAATTTGATTTATACCTTCAGCAAGGAGATCGTGAATAATCACTTGCAATTCCTAGACTTGGGTAATAACAGACTTGCTATCTACCATTTTGTAGTCCAAAAACTTTGCAGCAACAAACTTTTTCAACCCGGCATCTTCGGTTTTGTATTTCTTTTCAAGCGCAGTCCACAGTTCCTTCGACGTTTCCACGCCATTGTAGACGTTATACAAAGCATCCTCCAGCCCGCTTAGAATATAATTCTTGCACAAAAAATCTGAATGCTTCCACGCCTAAATCACGAGAAAGCGTTCAGTTTCTGGAGTTTCATCGGACAGCACAAGAACATCTTCCTTGATGAACTTCTGGAGACTTAGAGTAGTCAAATAGAAGAACAGCTTTTGCTGCCAGCGCTTGAAATCAATCCCGAAAAATTTTTCGGGTTTCTCCGCCGGTGCCAATGCTGCCGGTGTCGTTCGGCTTGTTGAGGCATTGGCAGTCACCATTGGAACAGCTTGGTTCTCATTCTCAGTAGTCATTTCTGTAAAAGAATGACACAAACGTTAAAATCACGTAGATTTTAATAGAGTACAAAACCACAAAGGTTTTACTCTTCCAGAAACAGTAAGTACAAATACAGAAAATATATTAAATTCCTGAAGCTTGTTAGTAAACTGTATTTGTAAAATAATTCTGGAAATATAAATGAATATAAACAGAAATGAACATAAGCAGAAATGACATAAAACCAATTCGAATCCACTGAATTCATAGTGTTTCCTTAAGGAATTTAATCCCCTCCTAGTACCCAAGGTTATGGATTATTTCCTCCCAGGATAGAACGAATTACACACTGGTGTAGTGGTACTTCAAACCCAGTGTTTCAGCGAACACAAAGTTCGGTAGCAAATCACACTTACTTTTTACTTTGTTTGATGCTAAAAGTATGCAGAAGGAGAGAAAACTCAGAAAATCGTAGTAAAATTCTGAGCAGAATAGTGTTGTATTTATAGCCAAAGTTGGGCTGAAATCTGAAGAGGTGCAACTCTTCAGAATGGCTGTTTATGCAAAACGCCCACAGCATAAATGCCATTACATAAATGGCCATTTACTCAACAATAAAGAGGAAAAATTGAAGAGGGTAGTTACTTTTCTGTTACCAAAACAGAAAACGGATTGGATTTAATATTAACAAATAAATTTTGTCCAAAAAGTTAATCAATCAATCATTTGACCAAATCCGGAGCCGGAGTCGGAGCCGAGCGAGCGACGACGACGGCGCGAGGCTTGCCTTCTTCTCAACTCTTTAAGAGCTAGAAGAAGAGCAATTGCTTATATATCCATAAAAAACCTCTTCCTCTTCCAATATGGGACAATGCCCATTTGCCAAGGGGGGAAACTTAAAATTTCATTTCCCTCCATTTTCCATTCACCCTCTTTTAAGTATTTAATATATTAATTAAATACATCCAAAACCCAACAGGATGTAGCTAGGTAGATAAGTTACAATTATTTCGTCACACGCTCACAGCTCTCCGATCCTACCACCAAGGTCGTGGTGTGAGAAGTCTCGTGTTCGAATTTCGATAACAAAAAAATCTTGATACAGAATGCTTCTGTTTTTAAATGGGTACTATAGGATTCAAATTGGGATTAATCGAAGTTTTAGAATGAGTATTAAACACCGCGCGAGAAACCAACGATAAGTACTCCGATCCTAATCATGAAGTGCAAATTGAGGAAAGTTAAAGAGGAGAACAAAATTTCACTCAAATAGGTCCAACGCCGCAGCTAGTTTTGCCTTCTTGCAAACACATTCTCGGGGCCCGCCAAATATTTATTTTCTATTCAATTGTAACAGCTGCCCATCAGCTAATATACTCCCTCTGTTCCAGTTTACGTGAACCTATTTCCTTTTTAGTCCGTACCAAAAAGAATGACCACTTTCTAAATTTGGTAACAATTTAGCTTAAACTTACAATTCTACCCTTAATGAGAAGCTTTTATAACCACACAAATACTCTGAGTCCCTTTTTGACATATTTAGGACCACAAATTCTAAAAATCTTCATTTTTTCTTAAACTCCGTGCCCAGTCAAACAGGTTTGACATAAATTGGAACAGAGTATCATTTTTAACTCTTCCCCTCCCCTTTATATACGAACCTTCCTATCTCTTTCTTTCAAACACCCAACCCTTCTAATCGTCTTCCATTCAAAAGTTTCTCTTCTCTTCTCTTCTCTTCTCTTTCACATAGTCTTGTAAGAAAAATCCAATGGCTAAGGGAGGCAATAAGCTCACAAAGCTCAAATCAGTTTTGAAGAAAATGCAATCTTTCAAGGTAGGCCGTATCCACGAGAGCCTTGTAGTGGCCACCAACAATTCTTCCTCTGACGAAGATTCATATTCCTATGATAGTCATTGCTCCATTAAAGACCAGCACACAGTCTATGTTGGTAAATCACGTCGTCGTTACTTCGTCAGCTCTGAGGTCGTCTACCATCCACTCTTCAGGGAACTTGTTGAAAGGTCAGGTGATTCAGAAGATTCTATCGCTGTTGCTTGTGAAGTTGTTCTCTTCGAACACTTGCTTTGGATGCTTGAAAATACAGATCCTCAGCAGCCAGAGTCCTTGGATGAACTTGTCGAATTTTACTCTTGCTGAAGTATTTTACATTGCGGAATTCATCTTCTCGCTAGATACTGTCAGTAGCTAAAAACCACCAAAAAGGAAAAAGAAAAAAAGATATTGCATGAGGAGGGATTCCCTGCAGTCAGCCACCATGTGGTATACAGTTGTAAATCTATTTTAATACTTTATAAGGTTTTATATATTTAGCGCTACTAGCTAGGAAAATGGTAGAGATGATTAATCCCATGCTTACATGGGTGTAACGATTCGCGAATAATTATATTTCTAGTTCTTTGTATTACATGTATAAATATATATATACAAGTGTTTGGATGTATGCATAATACCCATACATTTTTTGTGAAGCAACGTTTAAACAAATTAACTAATTTACATTCTATCATCCCTTGAATCAAAGTAACAAGTACATTGTGAAGATTAAATAATATACTATCTTTCTCATTCTATGAAACTACATCTCTCTTAACACCAAGCTTGTACCTCTTAAATTTAGTAAACTTGAAATCAGAGGGAAATCAAATGAGCCTGTAGACAGAATTAACAGTATGATTTTGCTTATTACAATAAGAGCAGATCTGAATTGTTTACTTTCCTTATGGATACTCTTTCTTATCTGTGCTAATACTTTGTCTTGCATATTGCGATTTTGCAACCAAGAATGCGCACTCTCCGGGATGGTGAGAGATCTGAATCTTCGTATGCTTTTCATCTCTGATGAGCAAGGAGTAGGCATGGTTAATGGTGGACAATGGTGAGAGACTTGTATGTCTTGGCTTTTTCTCCACAAGAATAATCACTAGAGCAATGTTGATAGTATCTACACTGTCAAGTTCATCCCAAAGTCTTTTCATCTTTGTATAATAACTAGCAATATCCAAGTTTTTCGGAATTGTTTCACCGATTTCCTTCGGTGGGTGATAGAGTTGAGGACGATTACTCTGTCCAAATCTTTCCTCAAGTTTATTTCATAGTTTCTTCGTTGTTTTGGGGTAAAGAATACGCTATGCATTATCTTCTTTGAGAGCGTGTTCAACAGCCAAGATATTATCATATCGTTGCAATGTGTCCAAAACTTGAAGGAATTCAGCTGAGATATTAGGTTGAAGAATGGTTCCATCTATGAAACCATCGTTGTTCTTATCAGGCAAGGCAAAGAGAATGCTCCTATGACAATCTCCATACCCTTTTTCATCGAAGATAGAGTTTACCAGTGAATTTGATGAGTGGAGATAAAAAGGATAAGTAGAATCAGCAATGGACATGGCAACTCTAGAGGCAACAATTTTTATGCCCTAAAGAGTGCTAGATTCATATTCAGATAATGAAGTATCACCCATTAAAGGTGAAGATCGCCACAATGAAGAGAGTAAACAAAAGAGATAAGAAAATAGATGAAAAGAAATAGATGAAGGATAGGGCCTAAAACTCTAATATCATATTGGACTTGAAGATAATAAAACGAATGAAATACAGTCAGACCTCTCTACAACAATATCCTTATATAACAGTCATTAATTCTAAAAGCCGAATTTTCCTCGAAACTGATTTTTTAAGTTATATTTCACTTCTCTGTAACAACTTTTAATCTATAACAGCAATATCCATATTTATAGAAGAGCGCTCTTTTTAAATTTATCCCTCTATAACAACAATGTATAATCTCTAAGATTACTAATACTAATTCTAAATATTTGCACACAATCTTTTTCATTGATTAAAGTTTCGATCTTGTATAATAAATAAGATTTAAAGATCTGCACATGACATCTTTTTCCTTGGACAAATGCCAAAAAAAACTTAGATAGAAGATCAAATGTTAAGCTCTTAGATTGTCTTCAATAGAAAGCTATCAGATACTCTTTTGCTGAGAGTTTGGTCACAAATCTGCACCGATCAATCGTTATATCGCTAGTAAGAGCATAAAATCTATAAAACAAACTACAATTACAAAGTTCTTTCATCAATCTTGAAAGAATTTAATTTTTTAATAGCTTTAAAATGTGTCTTAGAGTTTACATTTTTGTACATTTAATTATAGATTTATTAATAATATATTAACTTTTTTTAATACTTAATTAGTGAAATATACATATCTTGAGATTTTAAATTTGAATAATTTTTGTCTATAACAGTTGAAAAATATTTATATATCAAATATTGTTATAGGTGTATAACAACCACTTATTATAATAAAAAAATACTGAAACCGACGATGTTAGTGGAGAGCTTTGACTGTAACTCTGTCTTATTTCACGTACACTTGTCCCATTCTTAATAGCTAAATAGGAGTAACCATTTAACCAAGTGTTTAAAGGAAAAAATAAGACGTATACATATCTAAATTATTACATTACACGCCTACAAGAAGCTTCCAGAAGGCGTCAGTAGAATTTATTTAACACATATTCAAGCCTTCTTAAACCAATAGTTAGGATATGATGAAGTGAGCTCAATGAAGAACTCCAACAGTGCAGTCCTAAGGAATCGAAGATGCAGAACAATTCTTGAACAGATTTGCACTAACGCTTGAGAATTAGAGTTTAACAGAATGTAGAGATTGTATTATTGATAAAAATAATTCTTACAAATGCGATTCCTACTCACAATTTGTTACACAGTATTTAACTTCTCTAATTCTAACTAACTCCCTAACCACCTTACCGGCTCTCTAACAACTTTGATAGAAAGGACTAAAGTGCCCCTAGTTTGAACTATACAAATGTATAAGATGCCACTAAAATATGTCTTCTATAATTTGCCTATAACAAGTTGTCCCCCGCTGAAGAGTCCTTGTCCTCAAGGACTAAACTGTGAAAATTGCTGCTGAAGCACATGAAGGTCTATCCAATTACTATCTTTTGTGGAGCAGTTGAACCACTTCACAAGAGCTTGAGTGACTAGTCGCCCATGCTTAGAAATGACCCTTTCCTCTAAGATAGCTTCAGGTTCTAGCACAATGTAGCCGCAAGTTGATAAAGTGACTGGCAGATGTGGAACAGCAACAGTAGTACCCACATGCTTCTTCAATTGAGAGACATGGATGGTGTGATAAATTTTGGCATTATGAAGGGGATCCAATTGATATGCAACATGTCCAACCTTCTTCATAATTCTGAAAGGTCCAAAGAACTTGGGATTCAGTTTGTGATAAGAGTGCCCCTTCATGGACATCTGTCTATAAGGTTGCAACTTCACAAAGATCATGTCTCATTCTCCAAAGCTTCTGGGGTTCCTTTTCTTGTCAGCTCGTGCTTTCATTCGACATTGAGCCAGCTGCAGATGATGTTTCAGTAGCCTTACAATGGCCTCTCTAGCCTGTAAACCCCTATCCACCTATTTTACCATTGAGCTGTGAGTTATGTAGGAAAAATGCAGTGGTGGTTTTTGGCCATACAGCACCTCAAATGGGGTAATCTTGATGAGATTCTGGTAATTGGTGTTATACCACCACTCAGCAAGTGGCCATCCAAGTTGCCCACTCTTTGGGCCTATCATTACACATGCACCTCAAGTAGCCTTCAAGACATTTATTGATAATCTCTGTTTGCCCATTAGATTGAGAGTGATAGGAAATAGAACGGTGTAATTGAACTCCTTGAACATGAAACAAAGCTTGTAAGATGTCACGACCCCAAACCACCCCGGTCGTGATGGCGCCTATCACAGTACTAGGCAAGCCGATACATAAAGGTCTTTTGCAAATTCTTTTTCCAATTCAATTATGAACACAAGTCTTTCATTTAATATAACAAAATACACGGAAGAAAGAACAACATACGCAAATACATCACACTGCCCGATCCTGGTGTCACTAGTCATGAGCCACTAAGATACTGTCCAGTACTGTTTACTCCATACAAAAGAAAAGACTGAAATAAATAACACTAAGGATAGGAAGGAGAAAGGCAGGGCTGCAAACGCTGTGCAGCTTCCTTGCAATCTCCATAAATACTTAAGAGTTGCTGAAAGCTCTCACTCTGAAGCTCTGGCACCTGGATCTGCACACAAGGTGCAGGGAGTAACGTGAGTACGCCAACTCAGTAAATAACCAAAGTAAATAAAGTCTGAGTGCAGTGACGAGCAATTAAATCATATACATAATCTAACATAAAATCTCAATGGAAATATCAAAGTCAAATCCGTAGTTCAATTTCCAACAACTCGTAAAACTTCAATTTCAATGAACGTTATTTAAAACATTTGTTCAACACATTTTCAATAGAGGCTCAGTATAAAGAAGAGTGAAAACAGTAAATTTCATAAACAAGCCCCTCGGGCTAAGCATCGCTCATATAGATATGGCCCCTCGGGCAGCCTCTCAGTCACTCGTGACTCAACTCTCGTCAATCAGAACTCTCACTCAGCACTCCCGCTCAATAGATATCACATAATAATAAACACTGCAGCGTGCAGCCCGATCCGTAAATATATAGTTGACTGTGTTCACTGGAGTGTGCAGACTCCGGAAGGGCTTCTACAGCCCAAGCACTATATCGCTGCGGCGTGCAGCCCGATCCAACATACTGCTGTGGTGCGCATCCCAATCCATATACATATAAATATCACTGTGGCATGTAGCCCGATCCATAAATATATATATATAATCCTCACCATCCGGCCCCCGGCCTCTCTCAGTCATCAACCTTACAGCCATTCGGGCATTTCAGTGAAAAATAAGGAAAACTCAGCCCAAAAAACTTCCAAATATTTAAGACACAGTAATGAAACTAAATCAAAAGTAAATAGGTAAAAATCATGACTGAGGATATACTTTCAAATCAAAACAGTGTGAAGAAAGTAGTAAAATTCCCCTGAGGGTTCAAACAATTCGGCACAAGGCCCCAAACATGGCATTCAACCCAAATTAACAGATTCATTTCTAAAACACATAGATATCATATAGAGTTTATTAGAATAAGCAACTAAACAGTTACTACGGGACGAACCAGGTCACAATTCCTATCGTTGCACGCCCACACACCCGTCACCTCGCATGTGCGTCACCTCATTTATCAAAACAGTACGAAATTTCGGGGTTTCATACCCTCATGTCTAGATTTACAATTGTTACTTACCTCAAACCGGATGAAATTCTACTCCGCGATGCCCTTGCCTCTCGACTCGGCCTCAACTCGCCCCGAATCTATCCAAAATCAGAATCATAACATCAAAAATAGGCTAAAGGAACAAAGCCCATGCGAAAATAATCAAATTACATCAAAAATTCCAAAATTGGCAAAACCCGACCCCCGTGCCCACATCTCCAAATTCAATAAAAATTATGTCACTAGAATCCTTATCCCCCCACGAGTCTATACATAT